TGAAATAATTTTTTTTTTTGCTTGTTTATTTAGCCGGAACAGTATTTTTTTCTTACAACAAATCAGCCAGAATAGTATTTCGATTTATTTTTTCAGCGAAACGAACGGGACCATGACTGTTACTAATTGGGGCTAGAAAATTAGTCTAAATTAGCTATAGTTGGCTCGCTAATTGGTTAACAACTAGTTGAAGACTTGTCTAAAAAATTAGCCCACCTATTAGCCCTCCTATTTACATACACTATAGCTAATTTAAACTAATTTTTAGCTAGCTAGTGATTAGTCTTTGTATCCAATCAGACCCTTTGTCTGACTATGCAACAATGAGTTAGATCTACAACGGAGTCTTCTATCTGAGGAAGCACGGACAAAATCATCGTCTGCTCATAATCACTAATGGAAAAGCACATTATTCTTCGTCTTGAGTTATTAGTGCCGCATGTTCACAAGATACATCATCCGTACGATTATGGCTCAAATGCAGGGAACTAGTTCAACATTTGCATATGCTTCTTATTGGTACATGGTTTCCAGAACTTCACTTCTTTGGTGTATCTGCATACTTCCAGGAGGTATGTGCATAGGAACTGTATTGTCTTCCACCAGCCACATCTTCTGCACGTATCTGGCTGGCAATTTCTTTCAGGTCCTCAGCTGTGAGCTTCACCTTCAAGGACTCAACGTTGGCATCTAGGTTCTTTGTTTTTGTTGTCCCTGAGAAAATAATGAACACATCTCTCAGCATCCAAATGTAGGATGATTTGACCAATACAAAAAACAATCCTGTCCACTGATGACTTGCTTCAGACTTTGAAGTGAACAAGCACAGATCATTTGACATAAGTTTGAAATTGAACTAGATTACAGCTAAGTAAAAAAACCAAACATATCACGAACAACTCAACAGGTTGTACAAAATACTACATATCCATATTTAGAGAAGGCCTTTTTTATTATAGGATCTACAGAAATGATCTGTTACCTCACTGCTCCTCTTGTGAAGCAGCAAAATTCAAAGAGGATAATTTTAACATTAGACAAAGCTATTTGTGTTCGTTACCTATAACTTGAGAATCATTTTGCACATTTCACTTTTCTCAGAAAGTATATACAGGAAATTTCTAACTATTCATTTGGTATTCTTGTTTATCTTGGGAATAGTATGAATATCAGCAGTTCACATTCTGTGCCATCATTGAACGAGGACAGGGTTATAAGGTCACACCTGGTATAGGGACCACATCATCCCCTTGATGCAGAACCCAAGCTAGAGCTAGCTGAGCTGGGCTGCACTGGTACTTCTTGGCCAGGTCTTCTATTTTCAGGTAAATCTGCTTGTTCTTCTCCAAGCTTTCTGCTGTAAATCTTGGATGCTTTTGCTGATGAAACCAGGGTTAAAATGCACAAGTATTAAACTGAATCGATAGAGGTCAGGATATCAGTTCCAAGGAAAATTCTGTTCGTACCAGACTGGATACAGAAGAAACTTGCTGTGTCACTCCTCTTCCAGCAAAAAATCCGCGGCCGATTGGACTGTAAGGCACAATTCCAATCCCCAGTTCTCTGTAGTCCAGAAATTCGTGTTAATCAGAACCACAATTGAACTTCAATGAACTTGGTGGAACAAGCCTAATTTGTGGTGGAGAGCAGAGCTGACCTGCAGAGTGGCACGATCTCGGGCTCGATGTCACGGGACCAGAGCGACCACTCCATCTGCACAGCGGTGATGGGGTGCACGGCGTGCGCGCGGCGGATCGTGTCCGGGCTCGCCTCCGACAAGCCGATGTACTTGACCTTCCCCTCCTCCACCAGCTTCTTGAGCTCACCAATCTGCAGCGATTTCGACACAATAGTTCATAACAGCAACAGCAGCAAGCAGAATGAGAATGCGGCAAGGTGGCCAAGAGACACAGACCGTGTCCTCGATGGGGACGGTGGTGTCGATGCGGTGCTGGTAGTAGAGGTCGATGTAGCCGGCGTCGAGGCGGCGGAGGCTGGCCTCGCAGCAGGCGCGCACGTACTCGGGCGTGCCGCACACGGTCATGCCGCCGGCGCCCTGCCCGATCCCGAACTTGGTGGCCACCTGCACCTGCTCCCGCGGCAGCTGCTTGAGCGCCTTCCCCAGGAGGGTCTCGTTGGTGTGGGGCCCGTAGGCGTCGGAGGTGTCGAAGAAGGTGACCCCGCGGCGGAAGGCGTGCGCGACGACGGCGGCGACGGCCTCCTCGCCGAGCGGCGCGTTGTAGGAGCCCGTGAGCCCCATGCACCCGAACCCCAGCTTCGACACCTGCATCCGTGCATCGGCGGTCGGTCGAAATCGAACCGAGCAGCCGAGTCAGGTCGAGGTAGTCGATGGAGGCACACAGAGAGAGAGAGAGAGAGAGGAAGAGGAACGAAGTCAATCACCTCCAGCCCCTGGGTGCCGAGCTTGACGCGGGGAACCTGCGGCAGGGCGGCGGCTTGCTCCATGGCGCGGCGGGCGGCTGCAGTCGGGGGATCGAAGGCTGCCGTGCTGAGAGGTGACGGCTGCAAGAGAACACTCACACTCGGCACTTGGGTAGTGCAGTGGGTACTGACAGGGAGTGGTCTGCTCAACGACAACAAACCCGAGGAGGAGGACGAGAAATGAAGCATGATTTCTGTGGCAGCTCTGTCACATCGGCTCGTGACAGGGTGACGAGCCATAATTTTTTAAGCCTAATTAGGCTGCGTCTCAAAAATAAAAACAAAACAACTCAAAGAGTGCTATAAAAACTAAACGAGGGCGAAGCATGATTTCTGTGGCAGCTCTGTCACATCGGCTCGTGACAGGGTGACGATATGATATATGTGTTTAGTTAAATATAGAAAGAATGCTAAAAAGTAATTACATCGAATTTTGTGATATGTGTATGAAAATTAAATATAGATGAAAAACAATTTTTGATTGAAATCGTGACTAATTACTATGATAATTAAATATTAATTATTAAATAAAAACAAAAATACTACGTTAGTTAAATTCCTAAATTTCACGAAGTAGACACCGGCAAAAGTCGGTAGGCTGGCACGAATACTTCTCGCCCACTGATGGTGACAACTGATACGAGTTGTAGCTGAAAATCTGCCGCCGGCTCGTTTCTGTCCAGTCTTGCCAAATCACCTTTAGGGCTGCGATAAGGCTGCCTGTAATCCCATTCCAGTCATTCTGTCGAGTAATGGAACTCAGTACGTGTAAAGTTTGGATGGTTGAGAGAGTAAAATAGCTCACGGTGTCTTGCAAAGTTTGGATGATTGTTAGTTCCTGTTTAGTTTTCAAAATTTTGCAATTTTTTTTAAGATTCTCTGTCATATCGAATTTTTGGACGTATGTATGAAGCATTAAATATAAATAAAAAATAAAACTAATTACACAGTTTAGACGAAATTCACGAGACGAATCTTTTAAGTCTAATTAGACTATGATCGGACACTAATTGTTAAATAACAACGAAAGTGCTACAGTACCATTTTCCAAAAAAATTCGCCATAAACAAGGCCTTACTAGACTAGACTAGATGGTAAAATAGGTGCCTGAAATTGTGCTCTGAAGTGTGTTCCTATATGCTGCGATAAGGCTGTATAGTACTACTTGCCTACTGGTAACTTGGTAAGTACATGCGATGCTCGGAAGCATGGCTTCCTCATGGGCGCCAAAGAGTCTGAATGTCTGATGCAGATTGAACTGTACTGGTAAAAACAAACCATATAAAAGAGAGGATTGAAAAACATAGGAATTTCATAAGAATAGGTGTTTGGAACACAGTAATATAACAGGTATAGAAATTTTAGAGTTAGCTGCAAACTCAATGCTTTAAATTAAAATTAACAGTAAATAGATTTTCTTTTCACAAAGCCTATACGTATATATATCAAATAAAGCATGGAAGAGGGCCCAAGCCCCACAACTAGCATCTTGTCCGTTCTTCACTCAATGGCTACTGTACACTGCTGCTGTTTTTTTTCCTCTTCCTCACTGCAATAGCAGCATCCGTTATTGTGAGCTTGATTAGCCCGTGAGCGTGCACGCAAGCGCTATAGGAAACATTCCCTCAACTCAGCGTTGATGTTTTCTTTCCTCCAAAAGTAGAGGATTGCTCGTCGTTCCAAAGGAAATGTCACCGTTCATTCCTTTGTTCCAAACGCGACTACAGTGAAAAAAAAACCATAGGAACTTGATTCCTCCATTTTTCCTATGCTTTTCCTACGAACCAAACAGGGCCTGTCCTCTCTACAAATCAGAACCATGATTCTGTTCTCTAAAAGGCTGAATTCAGCCTTCATCCTCTCTACAAATCAGAACCATGATTCTGCACTTTGGTGGTGAATTCGTCATAGCTAGAAAGCAATAAAGAAACTTCAGCATTCCCTTTTCTAAAACTCAAAGGCCCCCTTTGAAATGCAGAAAATTTTTCGGAATTCTATGTTTTTTCTTGTAAAATTGAACTGATTTCTAGTTTTCTGAATCCTACATTTTTCCTTTGAAATTAATGATTCCTGTAACTCATGTGAAATTGAATTGATTCTTATAAAATTCCTCTAAAACTGTTGCATCCTTTAGAAGCCGCAATATACTCGACATTCCTCAACACGGTCGCAACATAGCTTGTTTCTCATTCTCAGGTCCAGATGTGGATTAAATGCGAGAATACGTGTACTATGTACTATAGATGGTGGCATGTTTTCCTGCCTACATGCTGATTGAGCTAGCACACATGACTGTGACCTTATTTTTTTGCGAGGAACTATATGGTAGGTTCACACAACCACAATTCATGTGACAACATATAATCATGAGCAAACTAACACTCGATTCTTAGCTTCACATAAGTACACGCAAAATCAAATTCCTGCTCGTACTTCCAATAAGACTGGGCCTTTCATTGTTCTTCTCTGTACATTATTTAGAACAGGTAGTATTCCTGAGGACATCTGCAGGGAGAGTGCCACGCCAATCGCATCAACATTGTTGCTTTGAAGTATTTTTAGCTCTGCTTCTTTGGTGTATCAGCATACTTCCAGGTGGCATGTTCAAAGGAAGCGAATTGTCTTCCACCAGCCACATCTTCTTCACGTATCTGGCTGCCCATTTCTTTCAGATCTTCGTCTGTCAGTTTCACCTTCAAGGAGTCAATGTTGGAATCTAGATTCTTGATTTTGGTTGTCCCTGAGAAATTGTAGGAAACATCTGTCAGTGACTAAACGTAGGACTATCAGAATTCAGAACATATAGCAATTAAGCATGACTACTGATGACTTCCTTGAACTTGGAAGGGAATAATAAGTGCAGAATGACTCAAGAATAAGTCAGTTAAATCGCACCACGTTTCTAACCAACAAAAGTATTTCATAGCTCAGTAAAAGAGATCATATGGCACAAACTATTCAGCAAGCTATCATGCACACACATTTGGAAGGAAGGAGGTTACTTCCCTTCAAAACAAGCAAAGGTTGTTTGAACTGGATGTGTTCCTCTACATTGTTGTGCTTCTCTGTCAAAGCAGATTATATCATAATTGAAAAGGGTTACTACCAAATCATACTACTTAAACTATTTCCAATCATCAATGGTCTATGAATATGATGCAATACACTTTTCTATGAGAAAAGGGTGTCTGAAAATGCATGTTTGGGTGGTCAACTTTGTGAGTCATCAGTCTGGAAGCACTGACCGTCGTCAATGATAAGAGAATGAGATTATAAGGTCACACCTGGTATAGGAACCACATCATCTCCTTGATGCAGAACCCATGCTAAAGCTAACTGAGTAGGGCTGCACTGGTGCTTATTGGCCAGTTCTTCCATTCGCAGATAAATTTGCTTGTTCTTCTCCAAATTTTCTGGAGCAAACCTTGGGATCCCATGCTGACAAGTCAAAGTTAATTCTGTAAGTGAACTAAGAAAAAGATTCTGATGCAGACCAAGAAATGATTTTTTTTGGCAACCAAAGAAAGAAATGATATTCTGAGGTAGACTATATCAATACCAGAACAGATTCAGCGGACACTTGCTCTTTCACTCCTCTTCCACCAAAAAACCCACGGCCAAGAGGACTGTATGGTACAATTCCAATTCCCAATTCTCTGAAGTCCACAGAGCATAAAGAATCTTAATACATAATAATAACCGGTCAGGACCTCCATGGGCTGGAACAAAAGAATCTGCAATCCATGAATCACCTGCAGAGCGGCACAATTTCGGGCTCAATGTCGCGAGACCAGAGAGACCACTCCATCTGCACCGCGGTGATCGGGTGCACAGCATGTGCGCGCCTAATGGTGTCCGGGCTCGCCTCTGACAATCCGATATACTTGACCTTCCCCTCCTCCACCAACTTCTTGAGCTCGCCAATCTGCAATGATTTGGAACAAAGAATTCACATGAGCAAACACACCAACAACGCCGACTGCTTTAAGGCTGGTCGAATGTGCAGGCAGGCTGCAGAGACCGTCTCCTCGATGGGAATTGTGGTGTCAATGCGGTGTTGGTAGTAGAGGTCGATGCAGTCGATGTCGAGGCGGCGCAGGCTGGCCTCGCAGCAGGCGCGAACGTACTCCGGCCGTCCGCACACGGTCGGGTTGCCGCTCTCGTCACGCAGTATCCCGAACTTAGTGGCCACCTGCACCTGCTCCCGCGGCAGCTCCTTCAGCGCCTGCACACAAGTAGAGGCAATGTCTTCCGCGGGTCAGTAAAACTCAGTTCACGCCCATAACTCTTTAGAAAAAGGGAAGTGCGAAAGGGACCTTGCGGAGGAGGATTTCGTTGGTGAGGGGGCCGTATACGTTGGAGGTGTCGAACAAGGTGATCCCGCGGCTGAAAGCGTGCGTGATGACGGCGATGCCGGCCTCGTCGTCCAGCGGGGAGTTGTACGCGCCCGTCAGTCCCATGCACCCGAACCCCAGCTTGGACACCTACATGGATGGAATCAATCGGCCGAGTCGATTCAATCAAAGCACCGGGCTAGCAGACAACGAGAGAGCGGAGGCACAAGATAATTCGGGGAGAGGTGAACTGGGAGAGAGATAAAAGCGACCTCGAATCCCTGGGTGCCGAGCTTGACGCGGGGAACCGGAGGGGCTTGGTTATCCATGGCCGCTGCTCGCCGGTGAACTGAAGGAGGAACGGTGGAATGAAGTTTGGTTTCAGGAAAAATAGCAGCCACTTCTGCCAGATTTTATAGGGCACATGGATAGTAAAAATTAATCCACGAGCTATCAACATCGGTCACCTTCGAGACGTGGCTTTTCTTTACGTACCTTTCGTATGACCCTCGGTTCTTCTCCCATAATCTTCGGCCCCTTTGCCATTTGAATTCCACGAGGATATTTTTGGCGTAACCACGGTCCTCTCGTGTCACCTTCATCGCTGGACTCTATTGCATCCACGGATCCACCTATATCATCTTTGGGCCCTCCTTTGCTATTTGAATTCGACGAGGATATTTTCGGCTTGACTTCGGCCGTCTCGTGTCACCTTCATCCTGGACTCCATCGCATCCCCACCTCCCAAATCTTAGAGGCAAAACCCAAAATATGTGCATACATTGGGTCAGAGATACGTGTCAGGGTACCTACACCGTCTCTATATATGACCACCGCCAAACTATCGGCCCAGCAGCCATCAAGGAGGAGGCCTGCAAGGGCTGACACGGTCGACCAACGTGGAGATCAAGGCAAACCAAGGTGTACATATCTGGATGATAATTATGATCAATCTGTTATAATAAATTAGGAACACAATCTGTTAGCTCGATCACCCTTCCGGTAACCCTACCTCTCCTGCCTATATAAAGAAGGGTAGGGACCTCTGGCTCGGGATCGACACCATCCATCTTCCGCCGTTCCAATCTACCTCGTAGCTAGGAGCAACAACCCATGTAATTGAGTATACGAATACAAGAGCAGCAGCACCACTGAAGTGAACCAATATAAATTCTTATGTCTTGTGTACTACTATATGGATCCGTCTATGCGATTACGTTGCCCGAAGCTAAATAATCCGATAGTTGGCGTGCCAGGTAGGGGTCTTTCGCGTTCAAACTAATCTTGTGTTTCGGATGTGAGTCATCTTCAACATCGGCAACGAACCGGGACAGGAGCAGCCGGGCAAGAGGATCACCTTCGGCAAGCTCGACTTCATCGCCGACCAATTCGGGGACCTGTGCCTTCAGGAACCCATGCCGACCGAAGAAGGGGAGCAGTTCCTCCAGATCCGTGTTGTCGCCGTCGGGCTGGAGGAGGCTGTGGACGCTGGACCGGACGACCTCGCGGTATACCTGAAGCGTTGCGCTCATCTTTTTGTCGAAGATGGGCGAGAAGGTGAGATCGTCCCCACTTTTCACATCAGCAAAACCACGGATCTCGACTTTGCCTCAAATCGATACCCATACTTCACCACCACACCGCCCAATCTTTGACAAGATCAGGGCATGCAACGGCAACCCATGGCGAGACACTCTCGCAGGCTGCGGTGGAACCCACCGAACCTCCCACGAAGGAACACTAGCCACAGGAACCGACAGACCGTGACGATGTCGACGGCACTCCCAATCAACAAAATTGGTGGGACGACGCCGACGTATCTGGACTCATCGATCCAGAGGCCTTCCACTGTTTTCTCTACAACTACGACCAGCTGCTCGAGAACTCAAGCTTTGATGGCGACGACAACGAGGCCATCCCACGTGCGTCAAGCACTAACACCGAATCATCACCGGACAAGCAACCGAAACTCGGACAGTCCCCATCGACGAAAGAGTAAGACCTTTTCCTTAACCGAAAAGGGTAACATGGCAGTGCGGTTGACTACTCAAGCACTGACCCTGCTTCGGGATACTCTCGATCCGAGCTACGTGCTTGCATCTGAAGGCCAACGGCCGCAGGTAAGAGGGGGTTGTCATCCCTCCCTCAATGAGAAGGGAACCACCATTAGCCAATAGATTACCAAGCAGAATCACCCGAGGGGAGGGCCTGTACAACCAGTAGCACCTCCCAAGCCAAGCAAGGCCGAAAACTCTACGAGTCGACCTACACGCATAACTGCGCGGCTGCACCAGTCGTCTTGTTATGTTCTTGCCCACCAAAGGATCCGATCACTCCCGATTCATCTGTTGTCCGGGATCGGGGACCTAAACGGATCTCCCCTCATCGACCAAGAGGTTACCCTCAAGCGAGATGGACGGTGAAGGGTCACAAGGCCGGATCCAATGGTGACTCCCGCCCCCGAGGACACAGCCTAGCAGCAAGAACTCAGCAAGCATCAGGACAACAGTCGACAACCGTTAGTTGTCTAATTCACCTTTATTGTTTCGTGTTTTTTCTCATTGCATTACATTCTGCGAGAATTCACATATATTCATCTGATTCAAATGTGTATCGATACCTCTTGGGCACCTCGAGGTGGATATCCCCGAATCACTCTGGGGCTGGCTATATCAGACTGACCCAGTTACAAACATCTGTAGTTGTTATGATCGAAGGTTACACTAGCCTACCGTTATGATCTAGGAACTACAGAGGGCGTCCTACAGACCGCACACCTGCTCTCCTTTTTCCTTCCACCGATCGAAGTCTCATAGGCATTGAAATGGTATAAGTGACTTAACAAGACCTTGCGTGGACTCTACCAGGACATTTCGTTCTAGTCGAATAATCCCCATGTAGTTAGTCTAAAAGCTTAAACCAAACACTAAAGACAAAGAAAGACGAGAAACGAAAAGGTGCGTAGGTTATGCCGAACAAAAGCTTGCTTCAAGCTACATCGTTCCGCTCCAAATAAGTCTGGTGAACCACCCGAATTTGATCAAAACTCACTATGAACCAAAGCTTCGCGCTCTTTCTCTAGATTGAGTGAGGCCTTGGTCCCACGTGACAAATACCCTCAAGCACCTCAACCCTAAAAGTCTCAAGAGATATTTGTGGGTCATGGAGCTAATACCGTCGTAGCCACGCTAGCCGATCAGCATGCCACCTAGAGTGCGACGGTAACCAGTCGAATAACTTTCGAGCAAAACACTCGGGGGCTATGTGCACACGACAATACTTGTCACAGAATCAAAGACAGTCTCGGGACGTCGACTACCCTATGGGTTCATGACGATTGTGATGTGACTCCATCCCTCGGGTGCGCCACGCTGACCCACCCGAGCGTTCGGGGGATACATACTATCACGCACAATCACCATGCACAGAGAATCCGATTTGCAGGGACATCGAATAACTGCAAAGCCCAAACTTTATTACACCTTCTTTCACAAAGAGGTACAAAATCTACTCCTAAAGGGGGGCATCCCTGATGACCTGTTCCATGTCAACAACGGTGGTAATCACCTCAGCATAATCGCTAAACTTGGCAATCAACCGGCGGATGTCCACGTCGCTGGGAATCTCGTCCGCCATCGGGAACCCGGGCGCCACCTCACGTAGATCCATCTTATGACTAAAGACGAAGATGTGGTGCGGTCAAGGCTCCTATGGCCCCATGGCAGACTCCATGCGCCACCACCTCCTAGATCAACATCGGGAGGCATCGGAGCCGATCGGGAACGTCTGTCCCCGCCAACAGCACCATCGTAACGGTGGCGATCGCAACATTATGAAGCGCCGAGTGACGCTCGCTACTGGACTGCGCCAGGGCAGCAGAGGAACTCACCCAGGCGGCCACACTATCCCGCTCATGGGCATCCTCTAGCCAACTACTTGGCCAGACCCTCGCTGGCCTGCCGCAACTCCACCACCTTGGCTTGCACGACAGCCAGTTGCTCCCTAGCACCTAGGGAGAAAAAAGGAAAAACTCAAAATCGCCCCCATCTAGATTAGATAAAACTCGAAGAAGGCAGAATCCAACTTACTAGTGAGCTTCGCCTGGGTCACCGCTACCGTGGCCTTGACCTTGCCGGCCACTTCATTTGCGGCGTCAAGCGCTTCCCTCGCGATCGAGATATACTCTCTCAGTCGCCTCTGCTCCTGAAAGCAACAACGTGAAGGGCTTCATGCATCACATTGGCCTCCTGCACCATGGCAAGAACGCCTCCCCCATCACCGCCTCTATCCTGACAGGAGTCATGACAATGACGGAGCACCCCCATTAGCGGGGGGTCTCAGAGTAGGACGCACCATCGAGATCGCCCTGCAATGGATGACTCTCTCAGATCCCCCTCCTGCCGACAAGAACAAGAGGCAGATTCATACTTACCCAAGTCACACCAATGCCTCCCAGAGAAGAATGGGACCCTCTAACACACGCTTCCCGACAATCCCCTCCTCCTCCGTCTCCATCCTCGCACGTTTGTCGCCGACCATGGTTGGCGAACAAAAGCTCGAGGAAGACCACGACAAATGACGAAAGGTAAGAATATAAATGCTACAAACACAGGCTTACTAACCCTCCTTCGCTTCCTTTGTTTTTATAGACAGGGGACGCACATGGCTAATGGAATTCCAATAATCTCTCCGAGCAGTGGTGCCATTGAGGACGTGCCATGTCCCCATGATTTTCAGAGGGATGCCTCCTAAGAGACATACATGGGGAAACAGGCCGCCGAGGCCAACCTTTAGCTTCACCGAGAAGGAACTCACCTCTGCAACCGCGGAAACCGTGGGGCCTCATGGCCCAAAATCTGATGTACCGTCATCCAAGTCAGTGTAGGTGAGT